GCCTTGCCGTAGTCGATCCAGCGCGGCGTGGCGAAGTTGATGGCCTCGGCGCAGTTGAAGCCGTGGTTGAAGCCCGCGTGGTAGCCGAAGGGGAAGGTGACCATGAACTCGCCGGCCTCCTGGGTCACGCGGCTGCAGGGGATGCCGCTCTCCCGCAGCACCGTGGGCGAGATGAGGGCCACCTTGTGCCGCAGGAAGGCCGCGCAGCCGCGCGCGCTGCCCGGGAAGAGCTCCCGGGCCAGGCGCTCCAGGCGCCGGCCGTGCTCCGGGGGCACCGCGTACCACGTCTTGGGCTGCCCGAAGTGCAGGTAGTTGATGCTGTAGAGGTCCATGTCCTCCGTGTGCCAGGCGAAGGTGGTCTCCCACATGCCGAAGTACAGGTAGGGCGTGTTGACGCCCTCGATGACGACGCCGCACTCCTGCTCCAGCAGGTCCTGGATGGTCCCCAGGTGCCCGAGGTTCCACTGGCGCGTGCTCCCGGCGAACAGGGAGCCGCTGACGTCCGCGCCGTAGATGGGCGCGGCGTAGAGGCGGTTCTTCCAGTACTTGCGCTCCAGGTCCTCGACGCTCAGGTGAGGCGGGGTCCGGTACTTCTCGCTGTCGGCCAGGCGGCGGTACTCGCCCACGGTCATGGCCTTCTTCCGCTTGTGGAACTGAGTCAACACGCCGGCCCGCCCCGAGACCACCTGCTGGAGGGGCGTGGCCACCAAGAGCTCGTTGATGTCGTCATAGGTCTCCCGCGCTTTCCATTCCTTGGGCGGGATGACCTTGGCCACGCCCGCTCGGTGCGCGCCTTGGGATTCCATGTACGCGACGTATTTGTCGAAGTCGTCGAACTCTTCTTTGGTTGGACGAAACACCATGATGCTGCAGTTGGGATTCTGGACACAGCTGGCCTTTGGCTTCATAGTTTCACCGTCAAGAGCGGCGCGCTCCCGGTGTTTAGGAGTGTTCTGGACAGTCAAGGACGCCGTTAAATGCGGCTTTAAAACACCGGGTTGCGTATCTGCGGCGGCAGGACCCGCCGGCCAGCCTCCTTGCCAGCGAGGGGAGGACCTTCCTCGGGTTGGTTCACGCGGAAGACTCCACTGTGGTGGGGGCTGACCCCGCAAGGGGGTCGCGCTTCTCAGTGGCCGCCTGGCTGTGTCCTCGTGAAGGTTGCTGAATGCCTCAGACCGGGGTGGGGGACTCCGACGCAGCAGAATGTCTCCAGGACGTGCTTAAAACAAAACCTAAAAGAAGGAGCCAAGGGGATTGAGAGTTAGTATTTGGGGAAAGTTATTCAGGGACTACAAATGAAATACCACGATACACAGAGGCTAAAATTTCACAAGATCGATGGTACAAAGGACAGGGTGGAGTTGGGACAATGGGAATTGTCTGGCCGGAGCCGGAGCATGGGACGCACTACCACCGCTTTGGAAGCTACCAGGACAGAACCGTCTGCAACGGAACATACGTATGTGCGGTGATCCAGCTGTCCCCCGTGCCTAGGAAATGTGCATGGCTGTGTTCTGAAAGTCACATTCAAGAATGGTCTTAGCATCATTGTTTTTAGCAGCCAGACACAGCAAACAACCCAAATGCCCCTCAACAGAATGGATGGCACATTGTAGTGCCAAAGAGCAATACTAATACTAATACTAGCGGCCTGTACAAGAGAGTTTATAAAAATAACATTGAGCAAATGTCTTGATTCAAAAGAATAGCTATTGCATAGTTCCATTTATATAAAGATGAAACCGAGGCACAGTAATCTATGTTCAAAGTCAGAGCAGTGGTGACCTTGGGGAGAGAGAGGGTCATTGTGGGAGGGATATAGGGGATCTCTGGCGTCAAGTTCATCTCTTCTGAACCTGAGTGCTGGCTACCTACCCATCAGAATGGCTAACTGTGATAATTAGCCAGCTAAGATGCCTTTCACAAATTCCTATATGTTAATTTAAAAATAGAGTTCAGGGTGAACAGCGTTAACTACCATGAAGATGTATTAACAGGAAGAGAGGATGACTGGAAGTGACTGAACTAAGTATTCCACTGACAAAGCCAGCAACACAGAGCTAGGGAAAGGAAGAGAGTAAGAGATGACGGAGAACAAAGATGATGTGTCCCCCTGGCTCATGCTGTGTGGCCTTGTAGTGTTTGTCCCCCAAGCCTTGCACAGCTGGTAGTGGCCCTGAAGAAACCAGGGCAAGATATTTCCCCCTAGAGAAAGGCCATTCAAGAGAGATGAAAAAAGCAGACAGCAAGGCTCCCTTGGGGTCAGGATTCTTCCAGGCAAGAATAACTCAGGAGAGGACAAGGCTATGGAATCGATGGGGAATGGACATTGAACCTATTCTGGACCCAAACAGAAACAGGAACGTTTGTTGAGGGGGCGAAGGAGGGTGAAACAGTTTTCCCTCGTGGGCTGGAGTTCTCTATCCAGTCAAATCATCCTGTTAAGACACTAAGAAATGGAAGCTAAAAAGAAACTGGGAGGCTCAAAACAGAGGCTTTTGTGTTTTGTTTTTAACTCGGGGCAGTTTTTAACTGTGTGCCCATTTTACTGGGGTCTTGAAATCTTCCAGAGTTTTGACTGTATGCAATTAAACTTCAGCCTGTTTCCCTCTCCCCACATTGTCTTCCAAAGTTTTTCTCCCTTCTCACTTCTTAAATTCCACCCCTTCCGAAGAGGCTGACCTTGATCTCTTATCTTCCTTTACTGCCTTTTCGTCTCCTGTAGCTCCTGTTGGCACTCACCACATCGACCTTGTATAACGTTTCATTTTGCCAGGCCCTTATTAAGCACTGTCTATTTGGTGTCCTATTCCAACAGAGAATCTAGGAAGTTGGCACTGTCAGTATCCCCATTTCATGGGGGAAGCAACCAAGGCATAGAGAAATTTATACAAGGTGAATCCCCCCAAAGTCAGAACTATCTGTCGGAGGGTGGGTCCCTGGTAGTATACTAGGAATACTAGGAATGTGTTCCTCTGGATCACAAAAGTTTTTATCTGGAAGTTTTGAGAAGGTCGCATCGCCATTTGCAGATGAAACGTCCCAAGTTGTGGCAAAACCGGCGAATGGGCCTTCCGCCATGACAATGTCCACACCACACTGAGAGTTCAGCAGTTTTTGACCCAAAATGGCTTGGCCCTTGTGCCCCGCCCTCCCTATTCACCCATTCTCACCCCAAGCCACTTTGTTTCCCTGATGAAAAAAGTCCTCACAGGGACACGTTTTGCGGATGTGGAAGAGGTGAAACAAAAACTGGCAGAAGCACAAAAGGCATCAAACGGATGCGGTCAAAAATGATTTTGAGCGTCTCGATAGGTGGAGTGCAGCAAACGGGGAGTAGCTGGAAGGTGGTTGAAGTTGAAACACGTAAGAACACACAACTCTTTATAAACAAACCCCAGGTCTTCTGGGTTCTCCCCTCATACTTAGCTCAACAGTCTGTGTCCTCAGTCTCTAGACTTCTATCCCGTCTTCCCCAGGAAAGTATTCCGAGAGCACGGTCCGGGTCCTGCTCAGCCTTCTCTCTGCCAGGGTCTTGGTACCTCGTGCACTGTCGACACGCAGAGCATTTTTGTGAAAGCAAGAGCCGCCGAGTGAGACCCCCTCTGGAACACAGTGCCCCGGCCCCTTGGTCTCAACATCCTCCTTGTTGTTCTCTCAGGGCAACAGCAAACACCTCTCCCCAGGGTTCATTTCTCCACCCGAACTCCTGAAATCTACATCTCTCACTGGCTCCAAGACTACAGCCAATTAAATACTCTGGGCCATCTTTGTCTGTATTAAGTCATCAGCCATCGTCTCCCTCCTGCTTTGAGCTGCCGTCTTTTCTCTTACCTTCCTTTCAGCACCTCGGCTGCCAGACACATAACCTCTCTTCTCGCCCCCACCCCTTTGCTGTCTCTCCCCTCTGGTTCTGCCTCCGCTGCCCTGCTGACGTTGCTCTCTGAATCGCCAGACTGCCCCCAATGCTGCTCCAAGGTTACCCAGTCTTCTACCCGTTCACATCACTGGCTCACGGAATGCCGCCTCCTCCTCCCCGAAACCTCTGACCTCGAGGGCACTGATGTCCTCCTAACTCGCTGGTTCTTCTTTCTGCTTGGTTCGCTGTCCTCTTCCTCCCACACAGATGCAGACTTATCTCAAGCCAAATTCTCTTCCCTCTCAACCTTCTCCCTTCAAATGTCCGACTTAGTCCAGGACTTTTGCCGGCACTGCACTCTTCCCTTTAATATGTGATCGACTGTTGGGGCTTTCTCTAAGACTAACCCTCTCCAGAGCTTTTACTTTGCTTCTCCATCCTGGACGGCCCACTGAACCCCTGAAAGTCAGCCTGGTTAGTACAAATGGACCATCTCTCTCAAGCTCGGGTTCTGCTTCAGACTGCTTTCTTTCTGCCATGGCGATCCAGTTATCCTAGTCACCATCCGCTCTTACACCCCTCTCTCTCCAGACTTGGCGTCAGTGCATGTCAGAGGAGCCAAGAATAGAGTGTCTCCTGCAAGGCCCTAAGGACAGGTGTACCCCCAGATCGTCTGTGAGTCCCAAGGACAGGTATACCCACAGATCGTTTTCTGTGAGGCCCTAGGAACGATGTACCCCCCAGATCGTCTATTGTGAGGCTCTAAGGACAGGTGTCTCCCTGGGTTGACTCCTGTGAGGCCTCAAGGACAGGTCTACCCCAGATCATCCTCTGTGAGGCCCCAAGGGAAAGTGTACTCCCAGATCGTTTACTGTGAGGTCCTAAGGGCAGGTGTTCCCCTCAAATCATTTCCTGTGAGGACCTAAGGACATGTGTACCCCCAGATCATCTGCTGTGGTGCCTCAAGGACAGGTGTACCCCTAGATAGTCTGCGAGGCCCCAAGGGCAGGTGTACTCCCCAGATCATCTACTGTGAGGGCCTGAGGGCAGGTGTATTCCTAATTGTCTCCTGTGAGGGCCCAAGGACCTGTGTACCCCCAGGTAGTCTACTGTGAGGCTCCTAGGATGGGTATACCCCCAGTTCACCTACTATGAGACCCTAAGGGCAGGTGTACCCCCAAAATCATCTACTGTGATGCCCAAAGGACAGGTGTACCCCCAGTAGTCTACTGTGAGGCCCCAGGGGCAAAAGTACCCCCAGATCATCTACTGTAAGGGCCCAAGGGCAGGTGTACCCCCAGGTCATCGACTGTGTGGCTCCAAGGACAGGTATACCCCCAGATAGTCTACTATGAGGTTCCTAGGACAGATGTACCCCTGGTTCATCTCCTGTGAGTCCCCAAGGGCAAGAGTACCCCCAGATCATCTACTGAGGCCTCAAGGGCAGGCATACCCCCAAATCATCTACTGAGGACTTAAGGACAGGTGTACCCCTAGATCATCTACTATAAAACCTCAAGGACAGGAGTAACCCCCAGATTATCTTCCTTGAGGCTCTAAGGATAGGTGTACCCCCAGATAGTCTACTGTGAGGCCCCAAGGGCAAGTGTACCCCCGGACCATCTACTGTGAGACCCCAAGGAGAGGTGTACCTCTAGATAATCTACTATGAGGCTCCAAGGACAGGTGTGTCTCCAGATCACCTACAGTGAGGTCCTAGGACAGGCGTACCCCCCCCCCAGGTCATCTACTGCAAGGTCCCAAGGACAGGTGTTCCCCCCAGGGTGCACTCTCCTCACTTTCCTTCTATAAGAACCCAAGGATCCAGCTCACCGTCCCCTCCTACTCTGCTGCCACTACCAGAGCTAGCCCTTGAGGATCTGCAAGTGACAAGATTCTTGGTATCACGCAATCATTTCCTCATCTCACTCTAGTTAAAAATTATTCTACAACGACTATATTATGTCATTTTTGAAATATGAAATCAATCAGTTCACTGTATCTGAAAATTTACTCTACAAGAAATGAAAAGAGTAAGACAATTTGGAAGAAGAGTTAAATATCAGAAACTTAAATACTTTGCTGAGGGCAGAAGAAATAATAAAGGCTGACTATGAATGACACAGCCTCTACTTCTTATTGAATATGCAATTAAATAAGCTTTGTGTTGAGCACTTTCTATTTGTTTTATAAACTAGATTCTTAAAACAAAACTGATCAGAGTTTGCCAGGAACAATGACAGAGTGATCCTTCCGTGTTCCAGCCAAGTGTGTCACTTCTCCGACTCTCAGATGGTTGCTTTTATGCGAGCCTGCCTCTAGCCTCTTTCAATGAAACCACTTGCCAGGAGAGAATAT